CTAATGATCCTTTAAATACAGCGGCTGAGCGTGTGATTGTTACACAATTTGGGTGGTCAGAGATGCAAATTGAGAGGTGGCCAGGGAATAGATAAAATTCAAAGCCAGGGTCACTAGGGAAATAATCTACTAGTAAGTCGGGGGGGGGGGGGATAAAACCACAAAGTGCTAATAATATAAACTACTGTGTTCTGAATTTAACATCTAAGATCTTAAGATAAAGGAAGTGTTTCTCTGAATCTGCTCCTGCTAGCTCAAGTGCATCTGTTTGATTTGGGTAGTAAAGAGGCTAGACTAGAGCTATTGCAACATAAATAAGGGTGGATTTGGGTGGATTTTATTTCAATAAAAATTCATCTCATTGTATTATTGCACTTTAATTTGTAAAACTGAGAAAAGGAGAGAAAACTGGGTTTTTGTTTTGTTTTATTTTCCGTGATGCTTTTATTTTAGTCTTATAAAAATGAGGTTTACATGGAAAATTACTTGAGCATTACACATAGTAGGTAGTAATTTTGTGGACATTGCATGTTTTTTTAGAGAAACAAGATTATAAGTGACATCAGCAATAACTACAACATGGAACATTTTCCCTTAAATACGGCAACTTGTTGCCATGTGAATCCCAGCCAAAGCTTGTGTTGTAATTGGAGTTATAAAATTCAAAGTGGCAAAATGTTTTAACTGCAAAAATCTATTATCAGTTTTTCCAAGTTGATTGCCTATAAAGATGCAAAAGCAGAGACAGAGAGAGCCAAAGGGAAATGATGTGGTATTTATAGAGATTATGGGCAAAGCATGATTACATATAGATTGGGAAATTGGATATTTGGTTTATATTTACCTAAGCCTCCAAGGTCTGGGTCATATGCATTTCGTGTGGAAGAGAGTATATGTGGGTGTGGTGTGTGCATGCGTATAACTATCTGTACATCTAGAAAATGGACTTTAATTGAACAGAAAAACCAATTGAGTTTACAAAGAGATTAAGATCATTGTTTGTTCAGATGAATCAGGGTTATGGTTCCAAACCAGAGACTCATTTAGAGGAATGGTGTAAACCCACAGTTTATCCTAAGCACTCAGCAGATGAATGCACATAATCCCAGGGCTCTGTTCTTAAAAAGCTTTTTAAAGTTGCCTTATCCAGTCAGGGGGGAGAAGAATGACTAGAGAAAGGGCAGAGAAAACTGACAGCTAAAGGCTCACATCAAATATTAAGATTAATGATAAAAGAAAGAGTTTTAAATTACGGAAATTAGAGACGTGGCTGAAAGCAAGGTTGCAAATAGAAACATGGAAAAATATGTTAGAAATTTAAGATAATCAGTATTTCGATTCAATTTAGTAAATACATATTTGACACTTCAGGATTGTAAGTCTTGGAAGAAGAGGATGTACACGAATGAGTGGCAGTCCTTCACTTCTAGAAGTTTACAGTTGTAGGGGAGGAAAAATAACTTTCTCTCTACCTTTCTAGGTTCTTGTTTGAGACCCCTCTGTCATAAAAAGACAGATTAACAAGAGAAAAAAAAGAGAAAGTATGCCTCCTGTATTGGAAGATACCCAGAAAAACTGAGTAACTCCCCCAAATGGCCTAATCTACTACCTTAAATACCATCTCCAGCTAAGGACAAAAGAAAATGGTGAGGGGTGGGAGAAAGCCAGTTATGGGAGGTTACCAAGAAAAGCACACTAAACAAGGTAAAGGTTGTAATGCAGATTCGCCTTCTTCCCTGATAAGAGTTTCCAGAGATGTAGCCATCCTTCTCATTCAGGTACAGAGAGGAAGACACCCTTACAAAACTAGAAATGCTTAATTAATGTAAACATGCCTTATCTGGTTTTCATACTTCTTCTGTGTTTGCTGTTTCTTAAAAGTAGCCAACTCAAGATATTCAATACGCCAAAGAGGCATATTTTGGGGTGGCAGTTTCTGTTTCTCTTCACAATTTACCACAAATGAATGAGCATTTAGCAGACACGGTATAGTAGACGTAGATGAGACTACTCTCAGTATTCAAACTTAGAAAAGTTTACTTGGGTTAGGCCGTAAAATAGAAATGAGAGAGAAGGTCGGGAAGCAAGAGACAAGGAAGTCAAAAGGATGATGGAGGGCAGATTCCAAATGGTAAAACCCCACTGACTGCTTCAGTTTTAGGTATTAAGCTATAAAGAGGTTGGAGAGACTGGGAATCTGTTAAGGGGGTGATGAAGTCTCTAAACTTTAGAACCACTATTCATCAAGTAGTTGTTGAGCTTTCCCATCTCCAAATTAAAGAAGTTTACAGACCACTCTTTTCAATTAATACTCTAGGTACCTCTGTTGATTATTTTAAGTCATTAGCTAATAAATGCCTAATTAAGTCACAGTAGAAGCTCAGATATCTATATATGGTAGAGATGCTGCATCTATATGCATCCAGATAAACTTATTTACCTAAATACAAAGATAAAACCTAGAATTAGCCACTCCATGCTGACCTCAGACTGAAGGCCAATACATGAAGATTATCAAAGTGTAATGTTCAAGCTCTTAATGAGTTATTTAAAGAATTAAATAAAAGTTAGAAGTATTTTAGGCATAAAGTCTTTAAAATAAAAATAGTTTACTCATCTCCATAGAAAGGTGCCTAAAATCCTGCATTAATGACATAATTTGGGTGCTTCCTAGAATACTTTTGTATATGTTTTATTGATTTTTAGAGAGAGAAAGGGAGAGTGTTAGGAACATTAATGAGAGAGAAACATCATCAACAGCTGCCTCCTGCATGCCCCCTACTGGGGATTAAGCCTGAAACCTGGGCATGTGCCTGACCAGGAATTCAACCAGTGACCTCCTGGTGCATGGGTCAACAACACTCAACCACTAGCCACACTGGCAGGGCCCTAGAATACTTTTTGAAAGTATCTACAGGTAATGTAATCTTCTAAAACAAATTATTTACTTTTTTTTATAGCTTGAAGGCATTGGTGTTGAAAAAGAAAAGAATAACAGATTTTTAAAAAATACCAATTAGAGGCCACAAAAAGTTACACATACTTTTTTCCCCAAAAGAAAAACAGTGCATAGCACCTATTTGATTTTGAATCATTTGACATTTCCCCATTTTTTCAAATATATCCTTTATTTAAAATAATTCTCACATTGACAACTAATATTCAAGTGATATATTTAAAACAAAATTAATTTCCTTATTCATTCTGTCCCCTTTTTTCTAATTAATTAGAAATAAATTTTGTCAACATTTTCCTTAGCTGCATATTAAAGGAATCACTTGAAAATAGGAATCACACTTCCTTTTTTACTATTAGGCCTCTTGCACACATCTTAAAAGATTATTCTTTGTATTTGCAATTCTAAAGAAGACAAAACAACACATTTACATGTCATGCAAAGAATATGTAATTTCCTTAAGAGTGGCTTTAAAAGGTTTCTATCAAAAAGATGCTCTGATATTGAGAAGCAATTAAGCAAAATCCTCATAATTCTGTGATCAGTTAAAGCGAAAATACAGCCTTTAAACTTCTATTTCTCCCCCTAGTGGCAAGAGATAAAATTGCAGATGTATATATTTTACAGTTCTTTGCCAATTAGACTTTATATAAAACTTTGCTCAAGTGAGTCATGTTTAATATTGTGTTGTATGCAAGTTTGTAAAGCAAAATAAAAGTAATAAAAGCGTCAGCTATTATTAAATTCCTAAACCTTACATTATATGAATGACTCTTTGCTAATTTAAATAATTATTGAATGTTTCAAATTAATTCCTTTCTTTAAGTTTAAGGCAAAATGGAGAAGCTAATCTCACAGACATATGCCATATAAATAAACTCTTTGTAGAAATCAATACAGATTTTTTTCTTGCTTGTTACCATATGATTGATACATTTAAAGAGTGAACAAGCCTGACACCTTTACCTTCAAATATTCACATTTCCGACAGCAGATGACTCCATGTATCCTGAAATACTTAATGCAAGAGGATTGCTTCACTACAAAAGACATTTTGAGCAATTTTTTGTAACAATGAAACACATAAAGGCACTCTCTTAGAAATGTGACTTTGGTGAATGGTGGTTATTTAGGATTGTCTCATTTCTTGAAGTTCAGTCTCATTTTTATGACTATAAAAGGGAAAGAAATGTAATATAATGGTGAAAACCAGTGAGAAGGAGATTATACAACGAATAGGATATAGCATCAAAGATGACAGAAAAAGAGGAAAATATCACAAAATAGCAATCAGTGATACAATATAGTTGGATTTTAAAACCATGAAATTGTTTTCCTAAGAAAAGTAATCAAAAGTCAGCATACATAATTAAATTATTCTCCCAGTTACTTATTATAAACAAACTCTTCAATTTGTTAGGAAATAATATCCCATTCCTTAGGGTTACTAGTATTTTTTAATTGTTTCCTTAATCTAAATTATTTTGCTTAGCCCCAATATTACAACTGATTCTCTGCTGATCTTTTACCTTTTTCCTTCTTTTAGCTTGTGTTATCTAAGACCTATATTAGTCTTGAAACCACAAAACACTGAAACGTTTTATCAGAGCTATCAGAAAAGAACCCTAACTCTTTAAGAACTTCCAAACCTAAAGAATCACTAATGTCAGTCATTCATCCTCGAGATGTTCCTGGTACTAGAAATGACAGATCTCATGCTTCACAAAATCAAAATGACAACTTCTTGGAGTCCAGGCATGAGAGGAAATGGGGAAACAATTGTACTGAAAGTTCTTTTCTACTATGTGCTCTTTGGAATTGCTTAGGAATGACTCCTTCTGTGTGTCAGAAATCTGGAGGAGCAGCTGCAATTAGGGAAGATGTCACTTTCAGAGGAGGGGGGCCAAGGAGAACAGGAGGAGGAAGTGGGGGAGGAATGGAGATGAAGGGAGGGCACATCCTGAAGAGATAAACCCTGTATGCTCTCATGACATCATCCTGCTGCATGCATGTATATATATAGGGGATGGTCAAAGCAACTCTCATACTTCAGTCGCTTTCAGAATCAGCTGAAGGCAAGAGGAAGCACCACAGAGAGTCCCCCTTCAGCCTGTCTGACGTTTATGAACTTGGCTGCCTAGGAATCTCAAGGAGATGATGGCAGGAATGAAAATCCAGCTGGTCTGCATGATCCTCCTGGCTTTCACCTCCTGGAGTCTGTGCTCAGGTAAGCTCAGCTGCATCTCATAACTCCCTGAAGTGATTTCTTTTTCCTTTTTTTTTTGTAGTGTGTTGCCACTTACGTTAATGTATCCAGGGAGGGGAGTTTCTCCCTTATTCTGGAATTGCTTTTTAGTGATAGAAGCTGCCTATTTTCTTTCTCTGTCTTCATGATTATAAGAACGAAAAGATTACTGTTTTTCAATCTGCAAGGCAATAAGAGGGATTTTAATGAAACACTTCAGGTCCTTCTTTGGAATATAATTACTAGAGAAAATTAAAAAAAAAAACAACACCTAAAACTTAAACTAGGCTGGTCACTATCTAATGAGAAGTACAGATGCAGTGCCTGTCAAAGTGTGAAGCCTTCACGAAAACCCATGCCATTCAATTGCTTTGTCTCAGTCTCAGTCATTCTCTTAGGAGGCAGGGGCTTCTCCCTCCCCCAAATAATGTGTCTTAAATGTGTGTACGCTAAGAAACAATGTGAAAATTGATGGTTAATTAATAAATAAATGAAGCATTACTTGTAAACAATTATTTCTAGAAAAATACAAAAATATTTCAAATCCTTTTTTGAGAATATACTTCACATAGTATTTTTATGTGACAAATAATAGTCATCCTTTTAATTAATTCATTTTTTGCATGTCATTTAAGTTGATACAAATATATTTGGAAAATTGGCATTCTTATATTAATTAAAAGTATTTACCTAGAGTGTTTTGCATGTGATAATTAAGGAGAAGCCATATATTTCTAAGTAATTATCAATAATTCATCTTAAAAATGAGATTTAAATTTAGAAAAATATCAAAACTATAGTGACTACAATATACTTCAGTTTTTAAAATAATTAAATGATCACATCAAAATGAAAAAGAAAACAGAGACTGAATGCTGGAAAAATAGTTTAACCTGTCTTATACTTTTTATCTGGTAGATATGACATTGAAATGTTTAATTTAAACTTCTATGATTTTATTTAAATTATGAAATTTAATCTAGCAGAAGATACAAATCTTATCAAAATTTTTAATTCTTTTGATTTTTGAAATACCTTGAACTCCTGAGTTTGTAAATTTTTTAATGAGATAAATACCACATTTTCTGAAGTTATGTTTTTATCTAATAATTGCAAGAGCTTAGAGGTATACTTAGAGCATGTGAGTAAAACTTGATTATTGATTAAATATTTCATTTATACAAATTTGAAAGTTCTTACTGTGATAAGCCAAAATTTATGGGGATTTCAGGATAAATTTTTCATGAATGCCTAAAGAGATTTTTATTTCTTTTGAAAAACAGATTGTGCCCCTAAAAATAATAGGAGAAAATGATCCCTGGTATAATTTAGTTCCTAGATACAATTTAACAAGTGGTTTCTCCAAGTGCCACACTTCTTCTTAATAAGAGTGTATAGTGCAAAGAAGATAGAGTCTTTTTAAATTCTGCTTTGCTTTATGAGATACATGTCAGTGTGTTTGAATTAAGTCATCTTATTGTAGTGTTCTTTAATTTTTTTATTACCTTTCAGTCTTTGTGTGTGTGTGTGTGTGTGTGTGTGTGTGTAGAATATTCATTAGTGGAAACTGGAAATGACAATCTTAAAAAATCAGAAATCCATTTTTAATGCTATCATACATGTATTAATGGACATAAGTGTTATTTAAGCAATTTCCTTAATGGACTGTTATAAAATTGCTAAGTACACATACTTGGATTTTCTTTTAAGTAGACAAACACAAATAATAGTCATTCTTTCATGTTTCACAGTGTGTTTTGTAAAATAGCATCTCAAGTAAATCTGAATGTCCTATTTATTCTAAAATTATCAGTAAGCAATTCTCTCTGTTTTGTTTTTGTCTTTAGAAAGTCTGCACACACCTTTTCATGATGCTGCTTTTAAAAAGACCAGTGTGCATATATTCTATATATGTAAACTATTGCTGGTGAATGTTAAGCAGCACATATGATGACATTTCTAGTATACGATATAATCAGTTTTTTAATTTTGAAATTTAGAGATTAAATAACTCCAAATCATCAACAGTCCTTTTGCCATACAATTATGTGCTTATTTTCTTAGAAGTGCTTCTATTACTCTGGCTGCCTCTTAGTCTAAAATAAAACTACAAAATATTTTTCCTGACTACTATTTTAAGTAGAATGCATATATAGGAAAGAGCATGCATCTAAGAGTAATTTTTTAAAAGATATATCTAAAATCTGGAGGTTCAATATGATATGTGATTATATAGTAAACATGTGGTTTTGATTTCACTCAGATTCAGAAGAGGAAATGAAAGCATTCGAAGCAGATTTATTGACCAATGTGCACACATCAAAGGTAAGTTTTTCTTTTTTTAAACCATGGATTGGAAAACATAGGAACTCTCATTATAAACATGGTGTCCTTTTCCTATAGTAATAACTTCCCATAAAGGCTGAAATGTTCATTGGGAGGCATTTCCTTTTTCGGGGAACTTTTCCTTGAGTTCAAAGGAGTTAAGGGTGTTGATGTGACAGGGAAAGAAATTATAGTGCCTATCAATCAGTATATTGTAACTTTAATTAAATAGTCACATATTATTTATGTGGATGTGTACATGTATTTAAAGGAATCTTGTTTCCATTCCTACCAAATTGTGTGTGATGAAAGGTATATTGGCCTCAAGTTAAATACATAAATGAGAACTCGGTGACATTTTGCCTTTTTTATTATATTGGGGAAAGTAAAATGGAGTTCCTAAATTAAAAATGAAAGTTCATGACAATTCATGAAAGACATGTGGTAGAGTATAAAGAGCAACAGAGTGGCAAACAGAAGCCTTGAGATTTAATCCTGCAACTGTGACTTATGAACTCTTTGCTCTTAAGGAAGTGGGTAGTTACCATTGCTTGCTTTCATTCATCTTTTATTTTGAAATGCTGTGGTTGGAGTTATGACCTCCTAGACATTAACATTAAATTCGTGGCTGGATTTAAGTTCTTCCTATAACAGAAGTGTTATCTGTACCTGCTCATTGTTTTTACTGAATTAAGTAAAACTTTGTATACTGGACCCTATTATTCCTCTCCTGGGGTCTTGAAAACAAGGTTCCTATTGGTAACCTGTACCCAGGAATAAAACTCAATTAGAATAGACCTGCTTATGTGCTACCACACTGTGTTGACATATCCACTGTGCATCTGAACGTAGAGTTAGAGAACAGGGTTCCCATCCAACAGATGTTTTCAAAGAAAATCAAATGCTGAGGTGAGGCATCACCTGGTGCAATCCCTGTGACAACACTGGGATGTTTGATAAGAAAGCTCCTGTCTAATTTCTGAAGCAATGCTCCAATTCAGGTCTTACCATCTCAAGTTTCTCTTCTCTAATTGGATGAGCATATTTTAGCTACAACGATCCTTCTGTATACATAGAATTATGTTTGCTGGTTTGGTATACTTTTATTAAGAAAGGTCCCCATAAGTACACCATTGAGTGTACTTGTACTTTTTAAAGTCTGATCTAATGGTAGCCAAGCTGAACATCATTCCACATATTTCTTTCATATGTGATTCTGTGACTTGTCTGCTCACATTACTTATTCAACATTAAAATTTACTTTTTTAAATTGGGATATTCAGCATTTTCTTTTTGAAGAGCTCTACCTTTGTTAAGAATATTAACACATTGTGCCAGCTTTTACATGATAGCTTGTTTTTGATTTTAGTTCAGGATGTTAATTTTCCAGAAAGATAATTTACACATTTATGTATTTAAATTATCTTCTTGTTTATGAATTCTGTTTTGGATATTTGTTTAATAATACCTTTCCAAGCTTATAAAATGCATTGTATATGTTTAAACAGTATTTTATTTATATCTGATCCATCTGGATATTTAGACTATAATATGTCAAGAAAAAATATTATTAGCTCTAAATCAAATTTTCTCATAGCCAAACTGTCCCAAGGATTTCAAATAAAAACTGTGCTCTATGCTACACTGTCATATATACTTGGATCTATTATTGAACATTATATTCTCTTCTGTTGAGTTTTATGTTTATTCATGCTCTATTAACTCACTCCTTTAATTCCTGAAGTTTTAAAATACATTTTAATATCTGGTAAAGTAAGTTCCTCCTCATTACCATTCTATTTTTCTAAATCTTTGTGGTTATACTCACACATTCATACTTCCCAATTAACTTTATAATTATTTTGACAAATAGCCTCTTCTAACTTCTAGCCTCCCCATATTTTCCAAATTGGAACTTTGATTTTCAGTTGGATATTTGGAGACTAATTCAGAGAGAATTGACACCTGAAATTATTGTTATTGAGTCTTTCCATCACAGCTTTAGTAGTCATTCCATTTTTTAATGTCGTTTAGAAAAAAATTTGTGCTTTCTTTCATCTATGCTGCTTGAAATGCTTCTTAATTTTTACTAATTATGTCACATTTAGGTTCTCCTTTGTCCTTATGTTTTCTCATTGATTATAGTTGGCACATGGGAGAGTGGTTGATTATGGTAATAATGGTAAAAGGCAAGAACTCGAGAGTATTATAATTTTCAAATAAATTGGTGAGCTGTGATGCTGCCTATGTCATCTCAATGTGTGAAATAGATTAGTGGTCTCTCACTACTCTGATTGTCCAAATCTATTAGTAACACCTTAGTTCCTGCTCCATTAGACGCTAAACTGGAGTGTAATTAAGAAGGAATGGTATATTTAATATCTTCACCCGTGCTGTCATATACATCTATATTTATATATTTCTACTTACTGTCATTTCTTTTTTTCTTTCTTGCTTTGTTCATGTATGTGTTCATTACTTATTGCAATTTTTTAAAATAGAGAATATGAGACTAGAGAATATTGGCACTATTCAACTTTGTGATATGAAGTGACAAAATTAAGGACAGTGTATTTATTAGACTAAAGTAACAATTAACTCTAAACTATAGTAACTTAGCACAATATAAATTTGTTTCTTATTCATAAAAGTTTTAAATGCAATATCTATTTTTTAAATTTCAGGTCAGTAAGGCAAGTGTCCCCTCTTGGAAAATGACTCTGCTGAGTCTTTGCAGCCTTATAAATAACCTGGACGGACAAGCTGAGGAAACAGGAGAGTTTCATGAAGAGGAGCTTGTTGCAAGAAGGAAATTCCCCATTGCCGTGGATGACTTTAGCTTGGAAGCAATGCTGACAATATACCAGATCCGAAATATCTGTCACAGCAGGGCCTTTCAACACTGGGAGGTAAAACAAAAGCAAAATATACTAGTATATGTATATAACTAAGTTATCTCTCATTTGCGGCAATTTTTAAAATTCTGATCATTATCATAACAAGAAGACATTAATATAAAAAAAGAATAAATCAACCTTGCTGGTTTGGCTCAATAGATAGAGCATCAGCCTGCAGACTGAAGCGTCCCAAGTTCGATTCCAGTCAAGGGCACATGCCCGGGTTGTGGGCTCGATCCTCAGTAGGGGGTATGCAGGAGGCAGCCAATCAATGATTCTCTCTCATCATTGATGTTTCTAACTCTCTCTCTCCCTCTCCCTTCTTCTCTGAAATCAATAAAAATATCTTTAAATAAAGAATAAATCATGTGTTGAAATTAACACTCTGAAATGGAAAACTTCATGCATGTAAGTTTCATTCATATCCTGTCTGTCTTGCAGGCAATTCAGGAAGATGTTCTTGATAACGGAAATGACAAAAATGAAAAGGAAGAAGTTATAAAGAGAAAAATTCCTTACATTCTGAAACGGCAACTATATAAGAACAAACCCAGAAGACCCTACATACTCAAAAGAGATTCTTACTACTACTGAGAAGTTAAATATTTTACTTCCATGTGAACATGACTTATCATTCTTTAATTAAATATCAAATTACATCTGTGTGAAAATGTCTCTTCTACAATTGTGGTTTATTTGATGTGATTTTTCTGATTAATAGAAATTGGACTAAATGTTTTCAAATAAATCTAGATCTTGAGCATGATATGTTGTGTATAGCTGAAGTAGATATTAATTAAGTCATATATAGAATATTTTCTAATTTGGCAAAGCACTTAATGGGTTACTTAAACAGTCAAAATGTTTGACATTTTAAACCAAATTGTGAGAGATTATAACAGTGCCCTACAGCAAAGTCTAGCCTAAATATCATTAACTCCCCAAAAGTAACAGTACTGCTTTTGTTATCTGACTGAATGTTTTTGAGAGATAAACATGTTCTTTTCCAATATTCAACTCCTGAATCTCTCAGATATGGGGAGGTAATAGTGATAAAATAGGATCATCTTAAAAGGATGATCAATGAACTATTGATAATTATGCCTATCTTAATAAATAATTTTGAACTGAATTTGTTTTCCTGTAAAATGAACTTATTAGCCAATAAAGAGAAAATAAGCCATAGGGACCACATGTTTTTCTGATACCTTTTTAATAAATATGTTTTTATGGAATTTAGAGGGAGAGGGCTAAAAAGATAGAAACATAAATTGGCTGCCTCCTGCATGCCCTCTACTGGGGATCAAGCTCAAAACCTGGGCATGTGCCCTGACCAGGAATCAATCCATGACCTCTTGATTCATGGGTCAATGCTCGACCCCTGAGCCACACCGTGCAGGATGAAGATTAACTTCTATTAGAAGGGTTACAATTTATAGGCTCCCCCCACTATGATTTAGTAAATGATAACTACATTTTTAACTTCATCAATAAATATGTGTGACTGATTTTTTTTTCTAATTGGGAGGGAATTTTTGAGGCAAAAGGAATATTGGAAATAAATCCTCATAAATTTTGTTTGAGACCATATTTATGGTGGGTCTCATAGCCTTCACGATCCTTACATTTCCCCGTTAGTAGGGGCATCCTAGACTCTCACAAGGGTCTAGGAAGAACAATCCTCATAGCCTGCAACCTAGTCCATCTATGAAAGATATCAGGGAATACGTTGTTCTGGAATTAAGACACGTTGAGAACTCCATGTCCTTTGATGAGATTGTTCCTCCCCTAGCCTAAACCCCACTCAGTAGTACTTAAGAACAGCCCACTGATCTCTGGGTTTTCCTGTTAAAATCATGCCTTCTCACAACCACCACCCCACCATCTTTACTATCCTATAAACTTCAACATTAAAAAGTGCCGAAGTGTTGACCCTAAGAAGGAAACTATTTTGTAGTGACTAGAGTGTGTGCTCTGAAGTCAGAATGCCCAGATGCAACTTCACGATTCACTAGTAACCTTGGACAATTTATTTAACTTGTTTATTCAACTGCAAAATGTGGAAAGTAAATGAGGAGTGGAGAAGGATATAAAGTAGTCCAATATGTGTAAAATGCTGAAAAAGTTGCCTGGAACATATTAATAGCTAGGTGTAAGTTTTTCTGGCCACTTTCATGCCATCTTTCCTTTTCCCTTACAAAACTATAGAGCGTAATATAATTTCACATATTAACCTTCTGTGTTTAAAACAAAACAAAACACCTGCTGATCTCCTAATTAATTACTTGTTTCATTCATTATCCTTGAGGACTTCCACATACTTGTAGAAGATCTATTCAATAATTTTCCTTCCCAGTCCCTTACACCTTCACTTCTGATAATAAACACTTTATCCATTTCATCTCACCCAATCACTTCCACAGTCATATCACAGAACTTTTCACTACCAATAAATTCAGCCTCCCCAAAATTTCAATTCTTAAGCACTCTACTCTGTAAACATCATATTTTGTTTCCAGTTCATATAATCTAACACTCCCACTCCAACATTTATGATCCCATTTAATCCATTGTCCCCACCTTTTTTCACTCTTCACTTTCTACTCATGCCCTCACTTTGCTAGTTACTTGATCTAGATTCTATGGTCCAAATTAAATTCCCTCCCCTGTGTCCCTCAACTTCCTGTGCTGCATTATGTAAGCCTGTGAAAATACTATTAAAATGAAATCTCCCCCAATTCTGGCCTCACCTGAGAAGCTGAACACAACTGAAAAAACACACTCAATGCTGCTGAAAAGTCACACTTAAATTTTCTGATCACAAATCTCAAGTCCTTAGTGCTACCCAGAACTCCTACTACATTTGCTTAATAAAGTTTGCCTCTGATTCTCACTGAAGTTTGTTTTATACCTTCTCTCCTATTCCCAGTTGTAACACTCATCAGTCTCCTCATATCAGATGTTGTTCTAATTATTTCACTAAAAATTAAAAGCAATAAAAAGAAAATTACATACTTTCCTTACCACCAAATGTAACACCACCCTTCATTTAACCCTCACTCTCCCATTTCAATGGAGGAACTGTTCATTTCAATAGAGAATTAGTCTATTCTCGTCTGAGGGTCACTCCTTAACTCCCTCATCTCCCTAAATTGCCCCACACCCTGCTCAGGCTGAAAATCTAGTAGTCATTCCCAACTCTTTCCTTTAATACATACCTGCCATTTCTCCCATTAAGGACTTTTGCTGGGTTTTCACCCAAAATACATCTCAAGTCCACCTACTTCTTGCCACATCCACCACTACTGCCCTGAGCCAAAAGTTCTCACCCCGGGACTATGGCAATTTCTTCCTAGCTGCTCTCCATTTTATTATTTTTATCCATATACATTCATATGGCTGAAAAAAGTTTTACAATTAGATAATGCCACACATCACTTCTCAATATCCCACAATGTCTTTCCATTACATTTTGAATAAAACCCGAATTCTGTCCTAGATGGCCTTAAGTAATCTGGCATTTGCCTGCTTCTCTGTCTAACTCCACTCATTCTCCTCCAGTCACACTGGCCTCTTGTTATTCCTCTACATATCCAGCTTGTTTCTCCTCGTTGTAGCCTTCACAGCTGCTGACACCTCTTTCCTGGAAAGCTCTCTGGCAGAAAAGCCTTCTTTGCTGCGCACACAGGACATCCAGTTAGAGATGCATTCCAGCCCCCTCCACCCCCCACCCCATCACCAGGAATGAATGTTGGAGCTAATCAGATACTCAGTGGAAAAAATGGGTACAACATGTGGCTCCTGTAGAACTTAAAGAGAAACCTCATTCCCTGAATTTTGCTTTTTTGCTAATTGTTTTTTTTCCTAAATGTGAATTTTTTTAATCACACAAATGGGTACCATTCTCTTAAGGATGACACTGATCAATAGAGCCTAAGGCCTTTACCTACTTTGTGCTACAAAGCTGTCTCACCATCCTGGACCAACCAGACTGTTGAAAGAGAAATGAATATCTAACTTATTTAAGACACTGCATTTTTCAGCCTCATTGTTACAACATATCAACCATTACTTTAATTGTTACGATGTTTTCCAGGCCTTTTCATGGTTTATTTCTTCACATCATTTAGATCTCTGCACATGTATGCATGTATAATGAAGCCCTTCCTTAACACTCTATCTTAAAAAAACACACATTTATCTCTGAGTCAATATCTCCATTTAATTTGCTTTGTTTTTCTTCATATTTGAAAAAAAAAGCAACCACTGACAAGCCTTCATCTGGGAGCTGTCCTGGCACCAACAGCGAGGCCATGGTGTTCTCCTGTTAAACGTAAACAATTTTATAGAACTTCAACTTCAGACAGGGTCATTCTATGGAGGATGGCAAAAGACAATAAACAAGACCTACCACTTTGTAATCATGTCTGAGCAAAAACAAAAACAAGAACACTACAAACCACAGAAATGATCCCATATCCCTTTTCCCACATAATTTGAGTGGCTGCTGCTTCTTTACTACTGCTTTACTTCTGCTTCATTTTTCCACCTCATGCACCAATACGACAACCCTGGCATTGCCTTCACTGTCTTAAAGCATCCAAGCCAGAGCAAAACCACACTTCTGGAATATTCTTCAGGTCCTTGAACACAAACCCCGATTCTCTAAAAAACCTCTATTTGTACCCTATTATTGAGAGGCCAACCCCACAATTCCCCACAGAATATCTCCAGTGCCAGTAAACCCCACTTTGTGTGAGTGTGTTCCTGGTGGTCTCTGGCTAGTGGGCATCGGCATGGCTCTCAGCATAACTTGAAATTGTGTCGTCATTAATTTGTTTACGTGTTTATAGTCTGTCACTCCCCACTAGAATGTGCACATTTTGTGAGGACAGGGATTTTGTCTTTCTTATTCATCACTGTATTCCCAAGGTTTAGCAGAAGACCTGGTTAAGTGTCATAAGAATTTGATTCATGAATGAATAAATTAGCAGCAGAAGGACTCTTTCTCTTATAATACAATGTACTAGACATACTTTCTACAGATATTTAAGCCCCAACTCAGAGATTACATTTCACAAGTTTTGTTATGAGCTTAGATGTCTAGAAGTCCCTGGTCCTATGTGAATCCGCACAGAGTCTGAGATGTTGAAGTTCACTTCCCAGTGGCAGCCTGGGAGATTATCCTTCAGTTTTTGTTCCTTAGGTCCCCATTGAGATGAAAACAAAAAAAAGTGCCTAAATGATATATGAAGTACTCCTACAACTCAACAAAAGGAAGACAAACACTCCAATTAAAAAGTGGACAGAGGACCTGAATAGACACTTCTCCAAAGAGGACATACAAATGGCTAAGAGACATGAAAAAATGCTCAAAGTCACTAATCATCAGAGAAATGCAAATTAAAACCACAATGAGACATCACCTCACACCTGTTAGAATGGCTATCATAAAAAAATTCAATAAACAACAAGTGCTGGTGAGGATGTGCAGAAAAGGGAACACTGGTTTGCTGCTGGTGGGAATGAAGATTGGTGCAGCCACTATGGAAAACAGTATGGAGTTTCCTCAAAAAAATAAAAATGGAATTTCTGTTTGACCCAGTGATCCCACTTCTAGGAACATATACTAAAAATCCCAAAACACCAATCAGAAAGAGTATATGCACCCCTATGTTCATAGCAGCATTATTTACAATAGCTAAGATCTGGAAACAGCCCAAGGGCCCATCAGTAGATGAATGGATAAAAAAGCTGTGGGACATTTACACAATGGAATACTATGCAGCAGTAAAAAAGAGGTATCTCTTACCCTTTGGGACAGCATGGATGGAACTGGAGATTATTATGCTAAGTGAAATAAGCCAAACTGAGAAGGACAAATATCACAGGATCTCACTTATTTGTGGAATCTAATGAACAAAATTAATTGACCAACAAAATAAGACCCAAAGAGACATGGAACAGACTGACATACCTCAATGTGAGGTTGGGGAGAAGAGAAGAGATAAACCAAAAAACTTATATACTTATATGCATAGCCCATGGACATGGACAATAGGGTAGTGAAAACCTGAGGAGGTGAGTAGAGGCTGGGAAGAGGTGGGTAGGGGGGAGGGAAA